TGGCAGAGTCGCTGGTGGCCGATAACTGTGTGACCCTGGCCTGGAGGATGCCTGACGATGATGACAGCAAGATTGACCACTACGTGCTGGAGTATCGCAGGACCAACTTCGAGGGGCCACCCCGAGCCAAGGAGGACCAGCCCTGGATGGTGGTTGAGGGCATCAAGGGCACTGAGTACACTCTCTCAGGTGAGGCCACAGGGGTAAAATCCAGCCCTAGGCAGGCACTAGGGTTGTCCCAGGGGGTGGGGAGCAGTGCTAGGCTTTGGAGGGTGGTGATGCCCACCCTGTGCCCCTCTCTGTGCCCACAGGGCTGAAGTTTGACATGAAATACATGAATTTTCGGGTGAGGGCATGTAACAAGGCCGTGGCAGGTGACTTCTCCGAGCCAGTCACCTTGGAGACAAGAGGTGAGTGCCAGAGTGGGGTGATAAACATCTCTGCCCCTCTGTGCCACCCAGTGCTGCCCGTTCCCAGGGTCAGCAAGCCCTGAGTGGGGCTGGGGAGCTGATGGTGGCTGTCCCCAGCCTTCCTGTTCAGACTGGATGCCAGCACGTGCCACCTGAACCTGCGGGTGGAGGAGCTGAGCGTGGAGTGGGATGCCACGGGGGGGAAGGTGCAGGACGTCAAGGCACGGGAGAAAGATGGCAAAGGCAGGACAGCCTCACCTGCCAACTCACCTGCCAGGTAATGTCACCCTCCCTGGTTCACCCTGGCATTGCCCTGCTCTCCCTGGGTAGTGCCAACCTGTCTCTCTTTACTGGCCCAGGGTGGTGCAGTCACCCAAGAGGATGAGCCTGGGCCGTGGGGGCAGAGATCGCTTCACTGCCGAGTCCTACACGGTCCTGGGTGAGAGTGGGGGCACCCATGGGTGCTGGGGGGATGCTGGGGCACCCTAGGGTGTGGGTGAGGAGGGGAGCATGGAGGGGAGAGGGCACAGGGGTGATGCAGGTGGGCATGGGGCACCCAGAAGGACCTGGTGGGGCTGGGGACAGGGTGAGACACCCCATGGGAGTACCCTGAAGGCACCCAAGGATGTGGATGAGGGCACAGGGGTGGATGTAGGTGGGCATGGGGCACCCAGAGGGACCTGGTGGGGCTGGGGACAGGGTGAGACACCCCATGGGAGTACCCTGAAGGCGATGGGTGGATGTAAGTGGGCATGGGGCACCCCAGAGGGAGATGGCAGAGCTGGGAATGGGACAGGAC